GTTGCAAGAGTTATCGAGTATTTAAACGGCGGAAGTGTTGAAGTTGTTTAACATACTCGTAATGTTTGTTTTACGCGCGCATTGTGGCGCCTCGAGCGTAGCCGAACGTGCTGGTTGGTCGAGACAAAAGACAAGGCGAGAGTGAAAATTTGTTGTAACGAATGCGTGGAGAACGAAACACGTTCGAGTTAAGACTCCCGTTCAATAAATATATTATCCGTATCATCTTCCTCTTATTTCTCCTTCCACCAATTCTGCGTAAAATCTAACACAAAAATACGTATCTACTTGTTCGAGATTCCGTTAAGGTTGTATGACCCGTAAGATCTCTGCCAAAAGTTTAAGAAACGTAACATAAAGCTAATTAACATATTTAAGAAGATATTCTTTACTGGAAAGTAATATTTATATTAATATTTTATTAAAATAACGGTTGCCTGTGTTTTTAAGAGCTATAGAGACATTTTTATGCATATTTTCTCGTATGCAAACTTTCACTTTTAATGATTTTTAGAAAGACTGTACCTGACTTGCAACTGACACAAACAAAAATCTGAAAGTGTGAAAATCTTTAAAAAGTAACAAAACATAGTAATTACTGTTTAAAAATACTAATGAAATTATATTACGTTATTTATTTACGTCATTTATTAATAAATTAAATACAATAGCTTTCATAAAAAAGTATTTTGATCGCGACAACGTCGCATTTTCTGTAAGTTGGTAGCATTGATCTCACTCGACATCAGCTGCGTGAACGCAAAGTGTGTGCTCTGAGCACGTGTAATATACAGACGCAACGTTTGAGGTTAGTTTTCGCTTGCGCTACGAAAATGCCAAAAGTAAAACGTTACATGTGCCATGGAATTGTTACAATCATCTGGTGTGGTTTCGACTCGTGTCTTCAAATTACGTTTCCCAGTATTTGTCTGTGCTAACCGTTGATTGTACACTTTTTCAGTGACAACTTTTCCTTTCCACATGTAACGTTTTACTTTCGGCATTTTCGTAGCGCAAGCGAAAACTAACCTCAAACGATGCGTCTGTATATTATACGTGCTCAGAGCACACTTTCGATACACAGGAGGCTCTATTGGAAAAAGTAACGGATCTCTATAGTATTTGTTATCCTTTACGAAGAGTGACGGAGAGAGAGGTTCTAATGTGACGTCATAGTGCGCTGTTGCCGGATCTCTGTACTTACGAGTTCAGTGAGACCAAGCGAGACTACTGTTCTCTGTTTGGTTTTTATTCAATATTTCAGAAAATATCCTCGAAGTCATAATTTTTTTGGTTCTAATTTGTTTGTAAGATGTTTATTAATATTTCTGCAAAGTTTTAAAAGGATGCCATATTTTCTTCGATATTAATTTCTCAAATGAAGTTGAAAAAACAGTGAAACTTGATGAATTCCCATAAGAGCCCATGTTAAATTCAAATTGTTATAACTTTTGAACGGGCCTCGGAAACTTGTTCAAACTTGGCACAATGCTTTATTATTATAATACTCATCACCTGACAAAGTTTGAAGAATTTGGCATTTTTTCTTCTAAGGGGTCACACAACCTTAACGTTGCGCCGTCCGATCAGATGGCAGCATCGATCGGGTATCGACGCCGGATCACCGCAGCAGCTTGCGCACGCACGGGCGCGCTCATCGCCAACGTCTTCCTCGCGATGTTCAGATTTGTACAAATGGCCGCGCTGTGACCAGACGTACGACGTGTGCTCTGTGTTTTTGCTCGAGATTCATTCCGAGTTGAAGTGCCCATCGCAGTGATTGAAGCTGCCAAAAGACTTTTCTAACATATAAAGCGACCGCTCATCCAGCTCTACTCTGGTACATCAACACGACGACTCAGGCTCACATGTGCGCGAGTGCCGACCGCCACGTGTCTCACCGGCTCACAGGCTAATCATCACGAGGAGGGCAATTAATATAATTGTCTCGCCCACTCACGGACATTAAATACTTCTCATTTATACACCGCTCATCGTTTCTCAGGTCAGATTGTATATTTTTCGACGCATTAAAGACGGCTCAGACTGTGGTCTGAGTTACACATAAATAAAGTGAATAATTCGTTAACACCTCCCACGCGCGTCTTTCTCATCCCGCTTCCATCACCGGGAAAAATCAGCAATTTTGCGAACATTTGGTCCTTCGAGCCGGATGCGTGGAACTTAAAGTGTAACTCAGACACAGATTATGTGAACCGGGCATGCCCTTCACGACATGCCACGTGGACATTATCGCGCGCCTTTGCGAGTGAAGTACAGACATTCTCACGCGCGCTCGCAAGTGTTACACCGACATGTTCACGCGCTCTCGCCAGTGGCAGATAGACAGCATCACGTGCTCAATACATGACCTTAACGACTCTCGATTCGCATAGTGTTTTTCTCACGCTTCTCTTGAACGTTCTCGTTTCGTGCAGCATTTCTTACACGTGTCTCGACGTTTCTCAGGTGTTTCATCGTGCGCAGCTCAGGGACGGCTCAACATGACGGAACCCGCAAAGGCGGGTACGGGCGGTACGGAGACCGCGACGCCGCTGCTCGAGGTACCACCGGCTCGCACATCGAAACGCCAAGCCTCACCCGTGCGCTTGTCCACGGAGCTCATCCTAAATGAACCGCCTGGCGACGGTGCGGAATATTGGTGACACGCTGCCAGCTTGTGCAGAGGACATGCCGTTAGAGGAGGTCATCCAAATCTCAATGCATCTCAAAGAGGCGAAAAAGGCGTTTCTCAAGGAGCATGCATATCTTGAAGCCTCATAGCCGTCGGCGCTCATTCAACAGCAAAGCGCTCGTTGACAGCTCAGCATGCGGCAGCTTAACCGGCCCGCACGGCAGCATCTAACAGCTCCACAGTTTACCCGCGCGATTGTTGCAACGGCACTCACTTTATTGTGATGGGCACGAAATTTAGGGATCTTTCAACAGGCGATCGACAAAAATTAGTCATACCACGGAGGCTTTGGTTCAAATGCCTCGGCCGCCACAACGTCCGCTCATGTAAAAGCTCACGGGGGTGCAAGAAGTGCACCAACCGATATCACACGAGGCTGCATGAGGCTCATCAGTCGAACTCATCAGCGAAGCCGATCACCAGCTCAGCTGCGTCAGTTCAATAGGAAGATGGTGCAATCGTCGCTCACTCATCTTTGGCCCGCTCATTACACTCAACATTACTAGCTACGGCCCTGGCTTAGATCAGCTCATCTGTTCATACTCAACGCGTATGGCTTCTCATTGATTCAGGTTCAGAACTTATCTTTGTTTCAGAATCTCTCGTTCGCCAGCTCAACATCACTCGTCATCATTCCGTCATTCTCATCACTGGAATTGGTGGCGGAAAGGCGACGCAAACTCGAGGAGTTGCATTGCTTAATCTCCGCTCACTTCACTCAAGATCAGACGTCATTATTCAAGCTCACGTTCTGCAGGCGTTAGCGAACATCCTGGCATTCTTCAACACTGCACCACAGGATTGGCCGCATCTCACCCAGTTAATCTTGGCCAATCCAGATTTCCTTACACTACGGCTAGTGGATATTATCATTGGAGCTGACTCATATGGACAGATCATTAAACCCAACATTATCAAACAAGATCCATTGATGCCAATTGTTCAGCTCTCAATTTTCGGATGGCTCGCTCTCGGGCCGGTCGACACATCATCACCGGCATCTGCTGCAGTGCATCATGCATCAATTCAGGAGAGAGAAGATGCTCTCGACGAGTTTGGACACAAGAAGAAGTGCCTGCGAGTACCAATCATGACCTCACTCCTGACGAGCAAAGATGTGAAGAATACTTCAAGACTACTGTTTCGCAGGACTCAACCGGTCAATACACGGTTCGAATTCCATTAAAATCATCACCTGATACTCTTGGCGATTCTTATCTCACTGCGCATCGATGCTTGCAAAGTTTACTAAGAAGACTCTCCCGAGATGACAACTATCGACGTTTGTATCATCAGTTTATGACAGAATATCGAGAGCTCAATCACATGAAGAAGGTTTCACCCGTTTCCAGTCAGCATATACAAGATTACTTGCCACATCATGGAGTGCTTAAACCAGACAGTGCAACCACAACATTACGTGTGGTATTTAATGGCTTGAGTGCATCTACCAGGAGCCAAGCTGCATCACAGCATTTAGACGTCACCGATGTTTTACTCTGAATTCGACAATTTTGACACGTAGTTGCCACTGACATCACCAAAATGTATAGGCAAATTAACGTGCATGAAGATGACTGGAATTTACAACGGGTTCTCTGGATAGACGACCAGCTCAATGAAGTGCCACATTATCTCACAACGGTCACCTATGGGACCAACGCTGCCCCGTTCTTATCAGTACAAACACTGTTGTAACTGGAGGAGGATGAAGGTCACAGTTTTCCTCTTGCAGTACCGCCAATCATTCAAGGTTGAGATGTTGACGACATTTTGGAGGCGCCGCCACCGTTCAGCAGGTAATAAAAATTTCAATACTGCTCAACGGACTTGTGCATGGCGGGCGGCTTCCCATAAGCAAGGTGGCACGCGACTCATCAAGATGTGCTCACTGCGGTTCAAGCAGCAAAAGAGCAGAGCTCACAAATTGCATTTGACGATTGCGCAAACAAAATACTCGGATTAAGATGGCTTCCTCAAGAAGACACATTCACATTCTCAACAAGGATCTCGTCGCACACCGATTATCTCACCAAACGCCTCGTTTTGTCTGAAGTGGCTCAGATATTTGATCCACTGGGCTTTGCATCACCAGGGGTGATCAAGGCGAAGATGCTCTTGCAGGAGCTTTGGCTACCTAAAGCTCCGATGGGATGAACCACTGCCATCCCAGCTCTCATCACGGTGGCTCATTATCAGAAAAGAACTCACAAGCTTGATCAAGCTCTCAATACCTCGGTGGTACAATCCATGGAGTACTTCGACAGTGGAATTTCACGGCTTTTCTGATGTTTCTCAACTGGCAATGGCTGCAGTCGTATTTATCACCGTCCACGGCTCTAATGGCGCCACGGTTTCATTGGTGTGCTCCAAAACTAAGGTAGCACCACTCAAACGACTCACCATCCCGAGACTTGAACTCACTGCAGCACTGCTGCTCTCAAGACTCATGCAATACGTTCAAGCCACCTTGAAGTTGAACGTTACAGCAACTCACCTGTGGACGGACTCTGTTGTGACACTCACGTGGATCAAATCTCATGCATCGCGCTGGAAGGACTTTAAGAAACCGAGTTGCTCAGATCCAGGATCTCACTGCAGACGCTCACTGGAGATACGTACCTGGCACATCCAACCCAGCCGACTGCGCATCACGAGGTCTAACTACTGCTCAACTTTAAAGCCACTCATTATGGTGGACGGGACCACCGTGGATTTTCACACCTGAAACATGGCCATCTCAACCCGCGCTTCCGGACGAGTTGAGCGGTCATGAGGCTCGTCCTGGCATTGCTCTATATGCAGCTGCATCTCAGCCGGACTATCATTGGGATCTCATATACAAGTACTCAACCCCAATAAATTATTGAAAATAACAGCTCTCTGTTTCAGGTTTATCGCTCTCTTGAGAGGGTTCCGGGACGGGTCGCTAGACTCGCACTCTGCTTTGGAGAAGGCCAGACTTTTTTGGATCAAGGCTACTCAAGCGGCATACTTCACGCACGAGATCAAGATGCTCACGGCCAACTCGAGACCACCAACAGCTCCTTCAGTCTATTGACTGCGTACATAGACGCTCAAGGAATCATCCGAGTTGGCGGTTGCCTCAATCAATCATTATTGGACCAAGACAATAAACATCAGGCGATTTTACCTCGCCACTCACGGTTCTCAACCTTAATCATCGCTCACGCCCATCTGCGCACCCTGCATGGAGGAACTCAGCTGACATTGGCTCATGTCAGACAACAATACTGGATCATCGGCGGACGGGCTCCGGTGAAGTCTCATATCTTACGGTGTGTCGTGTGTGCTCGGCAGAGGGGGATCCGTGTTCATCAACTGATGGGCCAACTACCTTTCTCTCGGGTTACGCCGTCACGTCCGTTTGCTCATACAGGAGTCGACTATGCCGGACCGCTCACCATCAAGACATGGAAGGGACAAGGTGCGAAAACATACAAGGGATGGATCTGTGTTCGTCTGCTTCTCCACCTCCGCAATTCACCTCGAAGTTGTCAGTGACTACTCATCAGAAGGATTCATAACAGCCTTCCGAAAATTCTCAGCTAGGAGGGGAATTGCTCAGACCATGTATTTGGACTGCGGGACAACATTCATTGAAGCAGACGCCGCGCTCAAGAAAATGTTCATCCAGGGCTCTCAAGAACATCACGGATTGCTAAAGTTTTGCAACTTAATGGCACAAGATGGGAGTTCAATCCACCAGGCGCTCCACACATGGGGGGCAAGTGGGAGGCGGTAGTAAAGTCTGAAGTTTTATCTGAGACGGACTATCGGGGAGACTCTACTCATAACGGAAGAACTCACAACGTTGCTTACGCAAATCGAGGCCATTCTCAACTCGCGGCCCTTAAAACCGTTGAGTGACGACCCTGACGACGTCTCAGCGCTCACACCAGGTTTCCTCATTGGAGGTCCAATCACTACCATACCCGAGCCATCTCTGATTGACCTAGCAACCTCACGACTATCTCGGTGGCAGCTCATCCAGCAGCATGTTCAACATGTTTGGGCACAAAGGGTCGGCTCATTATCTGCAACGCCAGCAGGCGATATCCAAATGGCATCATCCGGTGGGTTCCATCGTGCTGCATACCGACGAACGCTCTCCACCGTGCAAGTGGCCACTCGCCAGAGTAACGGAACTGCACCCTGGCAAGGATGGACTCACTAGGGTGGTTACCCTTAAGACGGCTACCACGAAACCCACTCGGCTAATTGCAAAGCTTGCCGTGCTACTTGTCTCAGAATAAAGGATCAAGAGTAAGGAATCATCAACAAGGTTGCTGATGGCGGGCGGAATGTTCGAGATTCCGTTAACGTTGCGCCATCCGATCAGATGGCAGCATCGATCGGGTATCGACGCCGGATCACCGCGGCAGCTTGCGCACGCACGGGCGCGCTCATCGCCAACGTCTTCCTCGCGATGTTCAGATTTGTACAAATGGCCGCGCTGTGACCAGACGTACGACGTGTGCTCTGTGTTTTTGCTCGAGATTCATTCCGAGTTGAAGTGCCCATCGCAGTGATTGAAGCTGCCAAAAGACTTTTTCTAACATGTAAAGCGACCGCTCATCCAGCTCTACTTTGGTACATCAACACGACGACTCAGGCTCACATGTGCGCGAGTGCCGATCGCCACGTGTCTCACCGGCTCACGGGCTAATCATCACGAGGAGGGCAATTAATATAATTGTCTCGCCCACTCACGGACATTAAATATTTCTCATTTATACACCGCTCATCGTTTCTCAGGTCAGATTGTATATTTTTCGACGCATTAAAGACGGCTCAGACTGTGGTCTGAGTTACACATAAATAAAGTGAATAATTCGTTAACACTTTCCACGCGCGTCCTTTTCATCCCGCTTCCATCGCCGGGAAAAATCAGCGATTTCGCGAACACTACTTATTTTATGTATATTTCATTTAAAAAAAGTTTCAATCGATTTAAAAAATACGAGGTCAAATCTTGTCCGATTTGACGTAGAATCGCCTATATATACTTTTCTATGCCAACTATTCTCTGCTTTAACAAAAAGACTGTTCAATATATTAACGATTAACTGGTTTAAATGGCTTTCTTTTGTTCGTACATGTACCATTTTCACATACATATTGGTCGTTTGTGCTTTTCAATATTCAAAATAACTACTATATTTTTCAAACTTTTTTGTTAATAATTTTTTAATAAAGAACAAGCAACGGCTAAAACCTTCTGAAGGTTACTCAGGAGGGTGACCACTATAATTAATATATGTCAAGGTCAAGGTCATAGGAGCTGGGTCTCCTTTTGTCAATATTTACCACATTTACTTTACCAGAAACTGAAGCAATATTTTTCGCAATAAATTAAATTATTTAAATAGGATGCTTATACAGGGTGTTTCTAAAACTATGTCAGAGATTTTAAGGGCGTATTCTAGGGGTCAAAATAAAAAAAAAGTTCTTCTAAACATGGGTTCCAAAAATGCTTTCCTTCCGAGTTATAGGGCCAGTTTTACCAACGTCGATTAACTGTAACCTTTGATTAAACTCACTCTTCATTTCTTTCTAACAGCCCTCCTTAGAAAGAGACAAAGAGTGAGTTTAATCGAAGGTTACAGTTAATCGGAAATGGTGAAACCGGTCCTTAGAAAAGTGAGTTTAATCGAAGGTTACACTTAATTGGAGATAGTGAAACCAATTCATAGCCCCCTAAAGTTGGGGGGAAAAAGATCGTTGAAATTTTACATAACGTAATAATTAATAGTGTTTTCTACAAACACATGTTTATAGAAACTTTTTTTTTATTTTGATCCCCAGAATACGCCCTTAAAATCTCTAACATAGTTTTAGAAACACCCTGTATATCAGCATCAAAATTACATTAATAACATTCAGTTATTAATCAGTTTCTGCAATGGCAAAGTAAATGTTTCTTTGGTTTGAATATACACCGTTGACTAAAATCGGTGTCCCATCTTATTGTTTAGTCCCACCTTATACGCGTTATTGCAATAAACACTACCACATGCCTCAGTGGTCGAATTGGCACGACACCTTACACGGAATGGGAGAGGTTCCAGGTTCGAATCCTGGCTGAGATTTGAGATAATATTTTTCGCAATAAATTAAATTATTAAATATTTAAATAGAGTGCTTATATGTAAGTATCAAAATTACATTACCTAATTTAGAAAGACCAAACCCATGGTTTTTTTAATATGTAATATCTCACATCTTATAGACACTTTAAACATTTATATCGTGTAAATGTCACATCACCGAATAAATTAATTTATTAAGATAACATCTTTTTATTTAGCTCGCATTGTTTGCCCGTTTACCACAATGCTCTTTGCTTTGCATAAAACAAGCTTAACAATTTAGCAATTTTATACATTATAATTGCCATTATTTTTACATAACATTTTATGTAGGTATAATATGCCAGGTAGGATATATTTTTAATATTGTTTTCTTCAGTTGTAGAATTTTTTGTAAATATTTTAAATGTGATCTCCGGAATTAACAATCGCCGAAAGTTCTTTTTCACATTCACTATTATAGGTATCTCTAGTACTCTGTAAATATTTTATACTTTACCTGCTGTTCTAATCCCTGTACCGCCAAGCTATATCTATCCCTTTCTTTCTCTACAACTTCCATCTGCTTTTTCATATCATCAATGGTTTGGATTAGTGTGTCCAATTCATGTTCAATCTTCTTCTTACTATGTCCGCACAGCAATAGCTCGTGATTTAATCGCTTGATTCGCTCGAATGCAGTCTCCTTACTACGGGCGATGGTATTCTTCTCTCGTAACAGAATTTCGACACGTTGCTTGTCCTCGAGCTGTTCCTTGCGACAAGTTTGAACATTTTGTTCGGCGTTCTTGACGTTGATCAAAGCTTGCTTTAATTCACGCTCCAACTTGGACCGCTCAGATTCTGCTTTCATCAATCTCTTATCTATCAGTTCCTTTTCATGCTTGTATTTGGCGCTGTCTTCTCTTGTTCTAAAACATTTGTCATTTATAATATTTAATTGCATTAGGGATTTTTATTATAAAACTTTATTATGAATTAGTATTCATATAATGTGTGAGTTGTTCCTACCTGTTAAGCTCGTACTTAATGTTTCTTATCTGCTTCTCTTTATCAGAGAGTTCTTTTTCTAGTTTTTCTATCTCAACAATTGCATTATCAAGATCTGTTTGCAAATTCATTTTCTTTACCACAAGCTTGCTCATCTCCTTTTGCATTTTCTCATCTGCTATTTTTTGATCTTTTATCAAACTCTCTAACCTCGTAATGTTATTCGCGCTGGCCTCAATAGATGCGTTTGCAGTCTACATTTATTCATCATTTCTTAGTATTTTTATTAAATATTAGATGTGTTAAATTAATAAAATAAATAATGGCTTAAGGGGATGCTGGAGTCGTTTGTTTTACCGACAAAATAATGATTTTCTTTCTACTTATATAGCGTCGTATTAATTTGATAGAATTAAAAATGCTTTTTCATAATTACAGTACAAACATCAATGATTCAAGGAAATTTTGATTTTACATAAAAAACGAGAAAAAATGACGGCATTACAAATTTCCTTACCTGCTTTTATCCTAATATGGCGTCTCGAGTTGCAGCGATCACTGTCAACTTATTAGAAGATGTGCTTTATTATATAAGAAATATGCTATTGATACGAACGTGAAGTGAAAATGAGTTTCCCTGGATTGTACAATAAGAAAAACATCGATGAACCCTCCAAATCGAGATTAGAAGTCTAATATAAAAGTACAGTATGTATTTACAATTATAGGTCGATAACATAGAATATGGTAATTTTGTTGGTAATACAGACGACTCCAGCATCACCTAAGGGATCCTATAGCAAAGGCCGAACTTCCTTGTCGATAATGTCAACATTTCTAATCCTGTCTTCTTTATATTTGTCCTTGTCTAACTATAGATATCTGTCCTTGTCCAATTGCTGCGCCATCTCTCGCGACACGCAATACTACTTATCCTATTAACCTGAATGTGCTTTCGTACATATAAAAGTTAAATACATACAACTTTTTTTCTAGGTTTTCAAAGTTTTAATTGCACGATATTGTTCTTACATGTCTTTCCTAAAGCGCACGTATCTCATTTTGTATAATATGTATATAAACTGCAGTATTTTTGTATTAAGCAAATATTGTCGTCAGTTTTATGTGCTCAAATTTTTTAATTTTTTTTGTTTTTGATGTAAAATCGACCGAAACGCTCTACATTTTTGTGCGTGCTTTAATTCTATAAAAGAATTTTGCAATTCTGTAAAGCCAATTAAAAGTTTAATGCATTTAACAAAATGTCGGTAACGACTGCCACTATAAGATCCCCTTAAGTTATAAATAATTTTCATTACAATTAAAAAATACCCATATTTTCTCAAAAATTTTATAAGAATTGAGACTTATGAACAATTCTGAAAAAATACATAAAATTTCTCAGATACTTTCAGAAATAATTAAATAAAAATTTTTGGAATATTTCAGTATCCGTATGAAAATTTCTGATAAATTAGAAGAGATTTCTTCATATTTATTCAGATTTTTACAAAGATATATTGACGGGGAAAATATTTTATTATTATTATCTATTTTGTTTAAGTTTTTCTGAAAAACGTTCCAATTCGTATTAAAAAATCTAAAAAATTTTGAGCATTCTAAAAAAGCCTAAAACCTTTTATAGAAATTCTGATTAATAATATAAAAAATTCTGAGACATTTTTCCACTAAAGTATTCTTTTAAACTTATGACTTTTGTTCAGTCGCTGCAGCCATCTTTGATTGATGACGTCAAAAGTGAGAAAATATATTATAAAAATTCTTGCAATGTAGGGGAGACCGGGGCTAAACCGCCAGTTTTTTTTCGGTGCCGATTTTTAACAACAAAATAAATAATTTTAGTTAAATGTGGTATACCACTGTAAAGAGTGAACCTTTAGCTACAAAATTTATATAGAAATTTTTATCTATGTTGCTTTGTTTAACCGGTATAAAGCAAAAAACGACAACGGTGGAAAAATTGAAATCTCAAAAATGCCGGGGTTAAACCGCCACCCCCCCCCCCGGGATAAATCAATTTCAGGTTTGATCGCTTATGAAATATTAGAAATCTACACTGGATTTGTGTTCACCATGCATTACTCTTTATAATCAGCATGCATTTATAATCACGTACCTCGAGATTTGGAGAGCAAATATTATTGCAGATATTACAAAATTTCCACGCGCAGAAAATTTCACTTTTCACCACGAAAACACGTTTGCCCTCGTAAAAATCATAACACGGCAGGTAACCTGCCGAAACTCCGTTGGTTACATGGGTACCATAAGCAGCGTTTACAATGTTAATAGCGAGTTCGCACAATATGCAGGTTCCGAGATATTTGATTTGGCAATTCAACCCCGTTGGCGGTTTAGCCCCGGTCTCCCTTACGTTGAAATAAAAATATTTTTCAATAAAATATCATTTGTAATCAATAGAATAGATTTGTAAAATGTACCGAAATCTCCCCTTTTTGTTTGAGTAATCAATCAATAACCTAACCTACATCTGTTAAATTGAAATATATATAATCAAGGACGAAACAAGTTGTTTGACAGTTGCCAAATTAAAATAAATATTTGCTTTCGGGGAGAACACGATAACCGGGGCCCCTTGATTTGACTGTGGTTTCTGGTAGTATTTTTTACGCTGAACAAAAAATTATATAGATCTTATAGGGCTAACTGCTTTAGTTTTCGAGATATGCAGTATTAAAGTTCAAAATAAATATAACTTGGTAAATGTTTAGATTAAGGGCGACCTCACCGATTTCAATGACCTTGATATATGTTGTCAAAGTCACGACCCCGAGTGACCTTCAGAAGGTTTTAGCCGTCGCTTGTTATTCATTAAAAAGTTATTAACAAAAAAAAGTTTTGAAAATATAGCAGCTATTTTGAGTATTGGAAAGCATAATAATTAATATATATGTCGAAATTGTTCACGCATATACTTTCCACGCGAACCGAGGTTCACGCACACCCCCCCCCCGTGCTTTCGGGGGAGGTGCGGTAGTCCCGAAATAGTTCAC